CCATGGGTGGGTGGGGTGGAAATGGTAATGCTGTTGAGACAATGGGAGGCCTGGCTGCAATTATCCATGACTGCTTTAAGTTTAAGCATATCTTCTTACAGCTCTGGTAAGACAGGTTTTCTCCTTTTTTCACCCAAACCAGCACAAAAGCAGCAATGAAAAGATGTCCCGCTAAAGGACTTGAAATAATTGAATTACATTTGCATGATTTGTACTTTTGTCCACATGTTCCTGAGACAGCTCTTCTAAGAGAGCTTTGTGGCTGCATTATGTAGATGTCGGATTTTCCCATCCAGTGAACCAGAGCTGAGCTACAAAGCTTTGAAGTGGTGGGGAGGGGAAAAGCAGCTTACAAGCTTGCTTGTATCTGTAGGTTGCTGCATAGATGCTTGGGAGAAGAGAAGCCGCTCTGTGGTGGCTTTTTTCCTTGTTAGGTGGGGGAGGAGAATGAGGTGATGTCATTGGCTTTGGAGCTGCTGCGGAAGAGATTGGAAAGCTGCTGCCGATGGCATTGTTTTTGTGGCAGCGGCTGAATGACAGACTCTCACTACAAAGATACTCCCTTGTCCCCTGTGTAGCCTTGGTTCCTGCATTTCACCATGCCAGCGCAGCGCCATGAGTCCTGGATGCATGCTGCTATTTGTGTTTGGCTTCGTTGGCGGGGCGGTGGTCATTAATTCAGCTATTTTAGTGTCTCTTTCTGTTTTGCTGCTTGTGCACTTTTCTATATCCACTGGTGTGCCAGCTCTGACGCAGAACCTACCAAGGATTCTCAGGTACTTGGACCACTGATCCTCTGCCAGCTGTATTCTTTGTTCTTTGGTTCTCTGTTATTTCTCTCTGCTTGGGAGAGGAGGTAGTGGGATGGTGATCTCTTCAGTGCTGATTTTAAATCCTTATTTAAACTTGACATCCATAGACTGTGTTATCCTAAGCCTGTCCATTGAAAATATAGAATTCCATTTTCTTTGTGCTTTCCTTGAGATTGCAACAAAGTCAGTTATGTTCTCAAGAACAGTGTTAGCCTTTTCATTACTGTACCTTGTAAATGGCATGAAATACTATGTGAAAACATTGTGGACCAAGATTTGCATTCACTGTACTGTCAGGTGCTTGGCTAATACTGGATAGCATGGCTGCTACTGTGTAGTAGAGGCCTTTCATTTATTCAGTCTGTCTTTTTTTTTTTAAACTCCAGAGGATTCTGCAGAATTTGATATTGAATAGCCTTTCACAGGCATAATTCCTGTTTGCGGGGGATATTTGTGTAAATTAACTACTGGAATGCAAAATTATTTTAAGTATTTTAGGTGGGGGAAAGATGTATTTAAACACCTTTGTTAAACTAAAGCTCTTTTCATTCCATCTATATGCCATTTGTTTTCATTGTAAGAGCACTGCAGCGTAACTGTGGTCAGAACTGTAGTATGGCTTTCTGAGAACTTCTGTTATGTTTTAAAACTTAATATTTGATGTGCTGGGCATTGTATAATATATTAAGGCAGAACTTACATATGTTCTTTAAACAGAGTGCAACTCTTTTATAATTGGAATTAAATTCTTCATGGTGGATTATGTAATAGGGAGCATTGAAGCAGGCCATTTTAAATTTTTAGTCCATGCTGAGTAAAGGTGAAATAAGTTGCATATCCTCAAACGTTTATTTGATGTTCTAAGTAAGCATATTCCATAAGACTGTCCTACTTTGAAGCCCAAGCTCTTGAGTTAATGTTGGAATAGGGAGGAGCCACAGTATGGGGTCTTCTGGTTGTATCTCTTATCACAAAAACAGAGGCTGTGAGACTGAGCAGCACTGATGTGGGTCCTGTATTGCCAAAGTAATATAAAAACTAAATCTAATTAGATTTACTTTAGTGATTGGGGGAAATTCAAAATTTTTAAAAAGCCAGGCAACTTCTCCAAGTTAACATAAAGAAAATAACAGTTTGCAAGGATCCATACTGCCTTCTGGTAAACATTTAGCGCTTGGAACTTTTAGAAAATTAGGGGTGCTATGGATAATATGAAAGTAATGTTTTTAAAAGGATTTATATTAAGTAGGATTAGCGAAATTCTTTTCATACAAGTTTCTCTGAAGTATGAAGAATTTGACTGCAGAGCTACATAGTTGTAGCATTTTAGTAGTCCACGATTAACCTTCACCTAAGTGAATTAATGATGTGTGACGTTGTGTTTAATCAGTGGTGTATTTTCAGTTGTGGAGTCTTTCAGACTCAAAGATGCTTTTAACTATGTGTTTTTGTTCATGCATATATTTAAAAAAATTACTGATGTATGGGGAAGATTCAAGCTAACATGCTACTTAATCTAGAGGTCTTTCCAGTCAAAGTAGCTTTTGTACAGGGAATGTATAATAATTTACTCACTTGTTGAGTGTGATCCAAACATTGTTCTTTCTCCACTCCCACCATGCCACTTCTACTTCAAAACCTACTGTTGTCACTACAGTTGTCTGCTTCATGATTATCCCGTCATGAGTACTTCTTGGGGGTGAGGCCTGCAGCATAATTTTTAACGGGTTTAGTCTGTACATTGCTTGTTCCACATTATTTCACTTTTCTTTGTCTTGTGATTTCAAGCCCCCCCCCCCCCCCCCCTGGGGGGGGTTTTTCCATTATTTCTGTGTGTTTTTAAGTGTATTCCTTGGTAGCAAAGGTACCTCCACTTATTGTCATAACATGGGGAACTAGGGTTGCTTCTGCACAGGGATGATTCCCTGTTCTGATCTGATTGATGCCGTGAATACCTTATGTTCACCTCAACAACAGTGCTTCCACATGGAGATTTACTTGGCACTTTCTTTTTCCACCTGCCATCCTCCTTGGCACTTGCAGATGCTTTGGCATTGAAAAATTATCACTAGTTGAGGTATCCCTGTTAAAATACTATTAAAATATCTTGTTGGGGGAGGGGTGGTGATGCCAGGTATGGGAAGGGAGGTATGAAAATCCAGACTTTCTGAAGTTGGGGGAAGCCCAGAAAGTTGATGGTTGCAACACTAAAGCCCCGGTCACACGGCAAAGTTGCCGCGGGAGAGGCATGGGAGTCCAGCGGATTTTCCAGGCGCGATCTCACCTCAAAATCTGGGAAGCGCAGTGCTCCCGTGGCGAACCCGTGGCTCCCCGCCAAAGGTGTGGAGTTAAAAACTAGTACCTACAAGGTTCTAGTTTCCTGAAACCGCGGGCCAACGGTGGGTGTCTGATCGCGTTCCCGGTGGACTTATGTGGCATCTGCCGCCTGTCGCTGTTCGTCTCCACAGGTTGCGCAACAGCGCCCAACAGTGCATGTGCACAAAGAGCGATTGCTAGTGCGATCGCGCAATGTGGCTTCTGTGCCGCGCTGCAGGATACCCGTCTGATCGGCATTTCCCCCGAACCACGGGACCTCGACCGGGACGTATACTCGGGCAGCCGCACGTTAGTTTCCTCCGGGGCAATTAGCCACGCCTCCCCCCGCGATATCTGGCCCGTGTGACCGGGGCCTATGTTGTGAGAAAGCAAAAATTATATCTAATACATTGGGTCCAGTGCAATCTCATACATGTTCCTAGTCAAGAAACCTTTACTACCTTGCCTGTTTACTCTATACAGTGTTAGGCATTTGTAGCGCATCAACAGCCTGAACAAAACCCCATTCTCAGCTTGCCTTTCTGTTTGCCTGGAAACAATTCGTGCTCCCCACTACTGTGTAAGCCTTGAGTAGTGCTGCTTCATCACTTGCACATCAGAAATGCTTTTGTTTTAGGATTGGTCCCTTGATCAGAAATACTGGCCTGGGCCCCACCACTTCATTAAGCAAAATTTGAAACCTTCTCCAACTTAAGTGGCTCCTCTGTGAGAGGAAGAGGCACTTAAACAGAGGAAGGCTTCAAGCTTCATTGAACAGAATAGTAGGATACAAACCACTGAGTAGGAACTCGTTAAAGGTTATTGCAGGGTAGAGGAAGTCATGTGAATGTTGAAAGCTTGCTTTTGTGCCTCCCCGTATGTACAGGCTACATATGCCAGTGCATGTAAGCAAAATGGTTCATACACAGAAGCACTAGTTATTTTGGCAAGCCTCACAAGTGCTGAGGTATCAGAAAAACAATACAGTTCATTGCATTTGCTTTGAGGAGAAGAGGTCTCCCTTTGATCTGGCATGGTGATACTGGGAAGGATACTAATATCCATTGATCATAGATCATATGTACAAGAACTGAAACTAGGAAAACTGTTGTTGTTTAGCACTAGTGGTCCTTTAAGATAGTTGTTTGGAAGTAGTCGGTTCTAGCACTGATTCAGAAGTCCAGATATTTTCCCTCCAGGTGGCCAAGTCTAGCCTGAGATGTTTGCATGGACTACTTTTAGTGTAGCAACATTAGTATTAAATACATTTGGTTAAAACATGCTGTTTTATAAATTGTTGCACAATGATATAGTACAGGGGTGGCCAAAATTGCTTCACGTAAGAGCCATACAGAATAAACATCAGATGTTTGAGAGCCACAAGACATGAACAAATATCACCAAAGGTTTTTTTGAAAAATATGCAAATTTGCTTTCTATTAACATTAAATGAGACTGCCAAAATAAAAACAAAAGCATAAAAATATATATTGATAATATTTATTTGTCCAATGGTATTTGTTTCCTAATGATATTTATTTGTCTAAGAGAGAAAGAGAGAGTGAGAGAGAGGTGGAAAGAAAGAATGAAAGAGATGGAGCGAAAGAGAGAAAAACAAAAAAAAGAAAATAGATGGGGGAAGAAGGGGAAAGGAAGGGAGAAAGGGAGAAAGAAAGGTGGAAAGAAAGCAAATAGATAGGGGAGGGGGGAAGGAAGGGAGAGAGAAAGAAAGAGAAACAGAGAGAGAGAGAAAGAAAATAGATAGGGAGGGAGGGAGGAAGAAAGAGACAGAGAAAGAAAATAGATGGGGACGGAGGAAGGGAGGAAGGAAGAAAGAGACAAAGAGAAAGGTAGAAAGAGTGAAAGAGGTAGAAAGAAAGGAGAGAGAGAGAAAGAGAAAGAAAGAAAGCAAATAGATGGGGGAGGGGAGGAAGGGAGAAAGAGAGAAAGAGAAAGAAAGAAAGAAACAATGAAAGCAAATAGATGGGGGAGGGGAAGGAGGGAGAAAGAAAGGAGAAAAGAAAGAAAGAGGTGGAAAGAAAGCAAACAGATGGGGAGGAAGGAAGGGGAAAAGAGAGAAAGAGGTGGAAAGAAAGCAAATAAATGGGGAGGGAAGGAAGGAAGGGAGTGTAAATGTGTTCTCCAACCCCCCCACACCCATGCCAGCTGGCTTGGCTTGGAGAAGGGATTTAAAGAGACCAATGCCTTCTCTGAGACAAGCCAGCTGGCTGGTGTGGCAGTGGAGAAGGGCTTGGAGAACAGATTTAACTTGAGATGGGGAGGGAGGGGGGGGGAGAGAGAGAGAAATGGGAAAGAAAGCAAATAGAAGCGGGGGGGAGAGGTGGAAAAAAAGCAACTTTAACTTTAAATGCGTCCTCCAGGCCCCCGCCCCCTCACTGGCTGGTTGGCTTGGCTTGGAGAAGGGATTTAGAGACAAATGTCTTCTCCAAGCTGGCGGGGGGGGGGCTTTTAGAACTCATTTAAAGTTGCTTTCTTTCTCCTCCCCCCACCTCAAGCCTACCCATGGAGGGAAACACCGCTTGGGAGGGAAAGACCGATCGGGAAGGCATGCCTCCCCTTTGCTTCCCCTGCTGGGAGTCACACAATATATACAAATGCAATATATTTGTATATATACTCCCCTACTGGGAGTCACACAATATATACAAATGCTTGTATATATAAGTATAGTATAGTATATAGAAGGTATATAGTATATAATATACTATATGGAAGGTACATGTATGTTTTCTTTGAAATCTTCTCTTACCCCCTCCCCCCCAATTCTAAAAGTTTTCTTCCCCACTATGTGTCTTCAGTCTAAAGTATTTGACAGAGTGTGCAGTTGTTCTGTATCATTCGCCATTTGTTGTTGTCTGTTTTCAGCTTAATTTCTATTTCTTCTGTTTGCTTCTGTACATCTGAAATATGTGTTTGCCTTGGCTATTTTCTTCATGCTAGAAATATGCTCCACCTCCACAACATTGCCACCAATGAGGATTCCAGGTTTTTGTAGTCGTAACTGCTGACAGTGGAAATTCTCATAATACTAACCGTTATAAACAGTTCCCTGCGAAAGGAGTATGCCTGATCAGTTTAAACCAGTGTTGTAGGTTTTCTGGAAAAGCAGGAACTGGAAAATATGACAATGGCCTCAATAGTATATAATCTGATTTAGTATGTTTATTTTGACTTATTTAGTAAACAAGGTTTTAAAAGTACCCCATGTTAATTTTATGTCCCAGTTGCAACAGAAACTTGAATTATAATATTTAATTAGGGGAAAATAATGTGACTGATGTATTTAAAGGTTTATATGAAAATTATTTCTAATTGATATAATACTTGTGAAAATGTAAGAGAAATATAGATTGTATTCCCTTACATTATGTAACTTGAAGAAAAAAAACTGAAAACGGTTGACACACTAATTTTAGCACACACAAAGAACTATGTATGATGTATGCTATGGACATAGTTGCCCAGTTATCTCTTTCAATAGAATTTAACTCTGTTCCGTGAAGGTCATTGGGGTACCTGGGTTTCACATCACTTGTATTACTAGTTTCACATCAGGTTGATGATCACGGTATCCCTTCCACCACATGACAGGAGACACATCAGTTTTAGCTTTGGTTTTGATTTAATCTGCAAAGACTCATAACAATTTTTAAAATTTGGATTATTATATATAATGCTTCTCCCAGAGGGTTTTTTTTTTTTTTACAAATCAGTACAGCATACGTGTACTCTCACAAATTCACAGGGATAATCACCAAAAATGTTAATTGTAACTGTAAAATGGCCAAGCTTGTCTAAACGGCAGTGGCATTCATTTATTGTTAATTTGATGAAACAATGAAACTTTAAAATAGATTTTTTTCCCTGCAAAAAAATAAAGCAATGTAAAAACCTCTACGGCACATCTCTGGTTTAAAATAAATCATGTAAGAAAACAGCTTCGCAAATTGCTGTGTTAAATATAATTGAATTTTTAAAATTTTTGTTAGCTTATGCTACTTTCTTCATTCAAAAGTAGATGCAGTGTAAGAAACCGATGCAAATAATTTTTTTCCCTCAGCAGAAAAGAACGTCCTATATCACTCGGCCTCTTCCCACTACCTCCAGGAGATGCACTTCTTACACCTGACACTCAGAGAGGAGCACTGGAAACTCCTGGGTCAGACAGTTGGAAGTTCCACGAACTAAGTCAGCCACGCTCTCACACCAGCCTAAAGGTGAGTTAGTGGTTTAGGTGGTATTTTCCAACTATGGACAGTTTTTAAAAATATTTCTTGTGATAACATCATTTATAGATGATACCAACAACCCCAATTTCTGTCTTTAGTTTTTACCCTTTTAAATGTGAGTCTCTCCAGGTAAGTTGAAGGTGAGTTTTTTGTGTTCTGTGTCTTGATAAATGGGTCTGAGGTGGCACTTGGGATTGTGGGAAACACAAACCTTGATTTCTGGCTTCATGAGAACAGTGTTGCTACTTTTTTAGTTTTCTAGGTGTGTACAGCTTTTTATGTGTGCATTTCTTGTTATGAGTTGACTAAGCAGTTATATTTTTCTGTTGGCTTATCAGTGTGGTCAGGGTTGTAATTTTGGTTTTTCCTATGGGAAGAACACTTGGGAAAATGAATGGAGATGGGTGTAAAAATTATATCCAAACTTAGGTTAAAAAGCTAAATTTAAAAAATGGTGTAAAGAAAAATACTGTATATAATGTATCTCTATCTGAAGTTTCCTTCTTGTAAAGGAATATAAATTGTATTGTGCCTTCCGTGAAATATTTTTCAGACAGATCTGATATTAAGGCCACAGAATGTCTAGAGACATTTAAGATATTTCCCTTTCCCCCCTAAATTGTACATACCCACCTAACAGATCTTGAATGACTTATTAATATCCATGGTGATGACTCAGTTTCTTTCAGTGCTAAAAATTTTTAAGCAGTTCAAAACTTAAATCATAGTTCTATTTAGTTTGGGGTATATTAGCAACTATATAGCTATGGTTACTACACAGAGGTGGGCAATGGCAAAATATCTCTGCATGTCACTTGCCTTGAAAAACCCTATGGGTAAATTTTAAAAACTGTCTACAAGCCAAACAAAAAAAGAGGTAATCATTTAAATTCTGCTGCATTGTTGTTTGGATAGCATGAATTAGGATTATCTGGTGAAGGGACATCTTTTGTGCTCTGTCTGGGGCATTGTGTAGCTGAATACTGAAAAGCCCTGGGATGAAAAATACTGTGAAGTAAACTTAAAAAGCAAAAACAAACAAAAGCTACTAGTGTATTGAAGATATTCCCCCACTGTTCTTCTGTTTTCTGTGACACAGCTTTAAAGAGAGGTGGGAGAGTTATTTGCAGTCTGCTTACATGGTTAATGGTTAGGAGTGCGGACGCTAATCTGGGAGAACTGGGTTTGATCCCTCACTCCTCCACATGCAGCTGCTGGTGTGACCTTGGGTCAGTTACAAGTTCTTTCAGAGCTGTTCTCTCACAAGCAGTTCTTGAAAGAGCTCATTCAGCCCCACCTACCTCATAGGGTGTTTGTTGTGGGGCGGGGAAGGGAAAAGAGATTGTAAACCACTCTGAGACTCCTTCAGGTAGTGAAGGGCAGGGTATAAATCCAATCTCTTAATCAGTAGAGCGTTAATTGTGCAACTGGGTTAGTCCCTTTCTTTGTCCAGCTATTTGAACTATCTGCTTAGGTTTCCTTGGTCCTTTTTTTTCTTGGCAGTCAGACTGTTTGTTGGAAGCTTTTTGTTTGCTAAAGTCAGTGGTCTGTGTGCTGCATTCTTTCATGGATGCAGTTGGAATACAGAAGCTGAGAAATGTTTGCACAAAGCCAAGTTTTCCCTCTGCATGGGTGAACTCTGGACTGCAGTTTCGTCTCTTTGTGAATCTTCAGTAATAAAGAGATGAAATAGAAAAGAACTACTCAGCTGCATTGCTGCAATTTTTTGTGAGGTAGTAGAAATAAGCATGTATGGGCATGTGAAGTAAATAGGGTATTTAAAACTTCTTCCAGAGGTGCTTTCCTGAGGTATTCTGTGAATACCTGAGGTATCCTATTATCAATGAATGATAATAGATTGCCCTAAAAATGTAATAATTGATTACAACTGCCCTCACATTGGCTCAATGTGGCTTAAGTGTGGTGGTTCAAGTGGTTAAGACATTGAACTGCAGGCTGGAAGGTTGGTAGTTCAGCAGTTCGAGACCTGAGTGCCGCCTGATGGAGTGAGCGCCTGTCTCTGGTCCCAGCTCCTGCCAAGCCAGCAGTTCGAAACCAAGAAATTGCAAGTAGATAAATAGGTACGGCTTCGGTGGGAAGATAATAGCGTTCTGTGTGCCTCGGCATTTAGTCATGCCGGCCACATGACCACGGAAATGTCTTCGGACAGCACTGGCTCTTTGACTTGGAAACGGAGATGAGCACCATAACCCTAGAGTCGGATTCGACTGGCTTTTGAGGAAGGGAAACCTTTACCTTTACCACATTGTTTAGGTAAATGTGTTCTTTGATCGTGACATACAGACAAGGTTTCTGGACACCAGAAATGACCATGCATTTATTAACAATTGGTCACAGATCCAGTTACAGGGAATGGTGACCCTGGATGTGGTTCTGAGTGGAGCTCAACATGTGGTGTGACACGTAGATGTTGTTGCACCAGTTGCAAATGGTGACTGCAGTGCTATTAAATTCAGCTGATATGTTAACTAGCCTGATACCCGTGCTTTGCCACGGTATTCAAGTTCCGTAAATCCAGTTATAATACTGATGATGTGAAATTTGAAATGTAACATTTGTTGTAAGAATTCTAATGGAGAAGATTGTAGTGTAAAAATGAAGTGAGACGTACTTTCCCCCCTCTCTACTGAAGGACCTCTCTCTAGACCACATTGGCGGTTCTACCCTCAAGTATTAGGATCACCAGGCTGCTTGATGAGCTCACTCTGGAGCAGGCCACATAGAACTGTCCATTTAAGAAGCAGTAATCTGTTAAGTCAACTCCTGCCACCTTCCACAAAAGTGATGGCCTTTCTACTTGTTGTGCTCCTGGATTGTTTTGCTCATATGGAGACTGTATTGTTCTGAGCCCTTCAGGGTGATCTTGCTGGTACTTGGCCTGCGCAGCTCAGTGATCCGCAGGAGTACTGTGTGCAAATGTCTTTGCCGCATTCCTAAGTTGCCTGCTCCTTGTAGCGTTGGTGTATCTGACTTGACGTTTGCCAGGAGCTTTCTTGGGGGGGCAGTAAAAGGTGAGAGGTGTGAGGGGGAGTTGGTATGAGGGAGTGGTGATGTGGTGGACATTTCTTCAGGTTCATGAGGGAGGCGCGCATCAAAATGGCTCCTAGAAATGTCCTTTACGATCTCCCCATAAACATTCATTAACTCAATTGCCATGCTGGCTTTTTAAAAAAATTCAGGAGTCTTGAATAGCTGATTCCTGAAACTGTCCTCAACTGTCTGCAGTCTCTTCTGACTGTGTTTTTACCTCAGAACATTGAGATCCACAGCTGAGCAATCAGAGGGAGGTGGGTGCAAGTAGGCAGGTTTTACCGCAGAACTCTCAACTACACAATTGACCCATTGGGGGTGGGGCGAGCAAGGAGGCAGCAGCCTGCCTGCCAGGCACATGGAAAATATTTGGGGGAACACATTTTGCCCCTTTTTTACCCCCTTAGGGGTCATGTGAGAGACCCCTCATAGAGTGTTGCCCAACTGGACTGAAGAATTTACAGCCTCTCTGTGGAGCCTCCCCCCCCTCAAAAAAACTAATCCCTAGCATAGACTAGGGCAGTGTAAAAATACTGTCCTCTATAAAAGGAACAGATTTATCATGTACATCACCAGCATAGGCTGTGAGACAGTGAGTGTCAAGCTTCCTTCAAAGGGGATAGTAAAAGGGCCATATTGATCTGTTGATTCATAACTTAAAGTGAAAGCACAACAAAGAAATTCTGCTTCCCATCCAGGCTAACAGTTTACAGTACTCACACTCTGCAGTGGCTGAATTAGAGATTAAGTTCTATTTAACTTGCTGGCCATCAAGCACAATAGAGATGGTCAGTGAAATCAAGCATATATTTGCTAAAAGATTGTAACATCTGTTGCTGTAGATTTTCCGTGTTGTATGGCTGTGGTCTTGACATTGTAGGACCTAATGTTTCACCAGTAGCTGTGACTGGCATCCTCAGAGGTATAACACAGAAGGATGGAGTACTCTCTGGGTCAAGGTGAGAAGAAAAATGGTAGGCAGGTAATTTATATCTACTCAGGAAGGTGGGGTAGGGCTGAGTCATTATCTTGTAGGAGTTCCCCAGGCTATGAACATGCTAATGAAAGAGCTTTCCTGAGGAGGTTCTTTTGTATATGGATTGGCTGTTGAAATTCTAATCTTATCTGTAGTGCTATTGTCTGATGTAGATCCTTTTGTGTTTTTCAGGACAGGAAACCATGCCCTATTTATTTTTAAACTCTCTTCTTTCCTGTTGAAATTGTGTTTATGTTTATGAATTTCAATGGCTTCCCTGTGTAATCTGACATGGTAATGGGAAGTGTTGTCCAGCCTTCAGTGTTTTGGAACAAAATACTGCGTCCTGTTTGAGTTAGGCTATGTTCAGCCACTGCTGATTTTTCAGGTTGGCCAAGTCTGCAGTGTCTTTCATGTTCTTTTATTCTTGTCTGAATGCTACGCTGTGTGGTCCCGAAGTAAACTTGTCCACAACTGCATGGTACGCGGTATACTCCTGAAGAAGTAGGGGGGGGTCCTCTTCTGTGTTTTGCCGATCGTAGCATCTGTTGTATTGTTTTTTGTTTTTGCCATATATCAAAGGAATCACTGATCAGATGGGAAAACTTATGAAAAAATACAACCTACAAACAGTATTCAGACCCTGTTGTTGTTCAGTTGCACAGTCGAGTCTGACTCTTTTCGCGACCCCATGGACCACATCATGCCAGGCCCTCCTGTCTTTCGTTGTGCTCCGGAGTTTGCTTAAGTACATGTTTGTTGCCTCGATAACACTGTCTAACCATCTCATCCTTTGCCATCCCCTTCTTCTGTTACCTTCAATCTTTCCCAGCATCAGGGTCTTCTCCAGTGAGTGCTCCCTTCTCATTTGGTGGACAAAGTATTTGAGCTTCAGCTTCAGTATCTGTCCTTCCAGGGAACAGTCAGGTTTGATTTCCTTTGGGACTGACTGATTTGATCT